CTTGGTAAAATTTTACCTAGGTGGAGCATGGGGCAGCACTATACAGCTGCCCCCATTATACATGCCCTAATGGTTGGAATCTACGTGCGCCCAACACTGCTGGGCATGCTGCTCCTTCTTTAGCCCCACCTCGCTTAGCTAAGAGCGTAAGAGGTGGAGCTTTGAGAACGGCGATTTGGCGGACGAGCTCGCCTGCTCCTGTTATGAGGACGAATGAAACGAGGTCTCGTGGAAGCTAGCAATTATGACGGGTGGAAATACAGGTTTGCATTGACGCAGAAAAGACAGGCATACCGTAGTAGGACTGCATGATGTACTGGTGGTACAGGTCCTACCGAACGAGGTGTGCAGTCCACGAATCACGGCGTCAGTCCGACAAGCGGTAGGCCCATTTAATACGACATCTCACAGGTTGGCTGGTTCTGTTTCGTTTCTGTATCCCCCTTCCTCTGATGCTTATCGAACAATGGCGGCCTTGGCGACGGCCGACGGATGGCGGGACTGGATCCGGTCGACAGGTATGGTTTGCGACCATCCCTATTAGATTCGAATATTGAGCATCTGCCCTATCCTTAGAAGGGTCGCCCCAATCCCGGTGAACAGGTTCGCTGTCCCAACCATGTACGGCGGTGTGTTCTGAGTGGCAACCCAGCCGACACTAGATCTGGTTGAAGCGGACGACAAGTTCAGAATGGGAGGAGCCGTGGATGTGTTCGCGCCTCTCCAACTGAATCTGAACACGCTGTGCGATATGAGCAGCTTATCGCCGCCGGACTCTGAACAGTCCACGAGCAAGGAAGACCCGCAAGCTCCTGGTTGGACATGGAGGTGATTTCATTGTTCTGCACTTCCGTTGAATTCATTCAGTAAATATGAAATATTTTCTTGATTTTGAAGTATTGCAGTCAGGAATTCATGCTCTCTGATAAGACACCCATATTTTGTGATTGTGCTTAACTGCAGACAAAAGCTATGTGATGCAGGGTGCTTGTTGGACAGGCTCCTGCGCCATGTTCGGGTAGAGTTTGTGCCCTTGAGCAGACAATCAGGGGGTTAGCTGAGAAGAAGACTGACACTGTTGTTGGAAGTTCGTTTGACTCATTATTAGGCGAGGTGACTACTAGAATTTGTACTCCTGGGTATGTTGGATGTTAATTGGTACGGTGAGAGCAAGAGCAAGGTTAACTTTGAAAAGACAAAGTGCATACAGGGGATAGTATGTGGGTGCTCGTTATGGCCTAACTTCGTTCGGTTAAACATTGTGTTCGCTCACTAGCTGGAAAAAAAAGTTGTGCTAAAACTTTTTATCAAAAAAAAGTTGTGCTAAACTGGTTTATAATTACTGGGTAAGCCAAAAAGGACCAACACAAGATCATGCCAGCGATGATTCGTCTACTCAGCTCGGAGGACAACAACTGATACATAAGCGAGCACAGGGCCAAGCCATCGCAGTTCAAGGACGACAAGTTAAAGTTATGTGTGTTTGCTCGGTGAGTGTCATGTTCGCCTTCTCGACATCATTCCTGGTAGGCCGACATAGTCGGTGTGTTTCATGATGACTCCTTTATATTTTTGGCAGGGAAGCCGAAGAAGTTGAACACTCGATCTTGCGATGTGAGTGCCTGGCAGTGATAAGGCTACTGATTTACAATGCGAGTTACTAGTTGTCCGTGCAATTTGTACAATTTGATTTTCTCTTGTAAGCTAGGATTTTCCTAAACCTGTATACATTTTACGTAAACATGTGTTAGCGGGAAAATAAACCAATCAGTGGCAATCGGTGTCGCGAGTGTATTGCGACAAATGACGATTGTCGTCGAGGCCTGTTGTGTTCTCTGAATCAAACTTTCTATTTGTTCCCTGATGATACTGACTGGTCCTGTGCGCCAGCCGCCCTGAGGCCACCTTCTATGTGTGGGGCAGCGGGGAACTGTGGTGTTTGAATTTCAAATGCGCTGGGAGGGGAGCACGGTGCAACTAGTACTAACACTCCGCCGTGGGTCAGAGACTGGATCCATTAAGGCCTCTTTATGTGATGTTAATGGGGTGTCGACAACATATCATTCTGCCTCTGTGTGATGCAGTTGAATCTCTTAAAGGTGATACTTATTTAGATTGTTCTGTTTCAAGAATTAATTGACTGAAGCAGCCAAGGTGATGTTGTTCCAGCAACCTTGCTTTGTTCTTTCACTCACTGTGTGCAATCCTTAATTGAATAGCTCCACATGATAAGTATGGTTTGATTCTCAGTTTGCTTTATGCCTCTTCTTTTTTAGGGAGTTATATGCCTTCTTAAAACTGTAGTATTTGTGTGAATTCAGTCCTTGAATCAGTACTTACAATATTTGTTGTCTATAGATGAGGTACTCAAGGTGATATAAGATTCTCCCTGTGACCTAAGTTCAATCAGATGTTTCTTAATTTATTCTTTAAACAATAATCTTGAGCTGAAACTATTAACAGGTTCAACAAAATATCAGAATATCCTAGCTGAGTAGTTCATGCTACTGTTACAACTGTTGTTCCTGCTAGCTAGAACACGTTCTAGCTTAACAGTTGCACTGGACTAATCTTTTGGCGGGCTTGTGAGAAGTAGTTGCATTTCAGATCCTCCTTGTATCCATTGAAAATCGATGAAAAAGAAGAGATTAAGAAAAAACACCGCTCATATATACATTATTTGTTCATATGGCGTTCTTCTGTGCTAAAAAAAGGTACCTTTTTTTTGTCATTTGTCACTGCTCAAAAGAAAGACAGTAAATAAGATCTAACTTTTTGTTCCTGCTTTTCCTTTTCTACATTCTCCCTAATTTATTTTACCCTCTACTTATAATATATAGGCTATGTCGCCACATGTGTGTTTCTTGTAATGGCTTAGATTATCTTGAAATTTGTAACTTCAAAGGGTTCCCTGACATAGCTTTATCGTATTCCACATTGCTACTCCAGACAGAACACATGTGAATTTTGCTTGAAAGGTTTTGAGTTTTGACTGATGGGCATGCTGGTCCAATGGCAAAACCAGCCAGCCAGTATAGAACACTTCTAGTCAAAGCACAGTGATCTATTTGTATAGATTATTTTTCTAATTAGATGTTGTGTGTGCCATTATTCTACATAGTAATGTTTTCAATGAAATCAATATCATTATGCAGATTACATTTTTGTTTGGAGGAAACACTCTTCTTATCTTCCTTCCTCTAATTTCCTACTAGTTGTGAAAAAATCTCTACTAGTTTGCTCATGTTTAAGGGCATGCAACGCTACAAGATTCAGAGTACAAACATTTGATATTTTTTTTCAGGTATGATCAGTTTCACAGTTTAAAAAAGACATTCGAGGTCATTGCAGATCATGGGAGATGCTGGATTTATTCTTAGCATATTATAGCTGTATTAAGATGATCTAATAATTTTACTGCATCTGTATTAAGTTATGTCTCGGATTGCCTTTGCTAAATTGCTATTGGCATGCTTTAGCTATTTGGAGTAAGGTTGTGTGATGAAGTCTTGCCTGCTCATACTGGACTTAACAGAATCTTGTCAAATCAGTACATCAAGTTTTTAATCATATATACTTCCTGTACGGCAAGGAGTAATAATAAGCAGAACCATAGCATCAACTCCTTGGTGCACGACTCGACAGGCTTCAGTTCGGTCGGAGCGGCTGTGGCCGGTTGCAGACGGTACTGGATGGCACGTGATAACGGCCCCTTCCTGTGCGGTGGGTACTGGATGTGGGCTGGCGGCGTCCGTCATTCTGACCAAACGGCACGGCCGTGCGCTCTGGAGCCAACACGGTTCTTTCCTGGCGCCTAATTACTGTCCCAGGCCTCCATACAACCATGTGCTGGGATCCCGATACGAACGAGCGCACAGAGATAAAGTGCGCAGGCGAGCTCGTCCTCTCCAATGAATATTCGGTGGAGCTTTCCCTTATAAAGTGCGACTGAGAGAACTGTGCGTACACCAACATTTGGACCTGATGGGTGCCCGATTATGTCAGGTTGCCTGATGGGTTCGGGTTTGGATCTAATAAACATTTATCATAATATAAAGAAATATAATTAACAATTATTTTATTGTCTTTAGGACATATTTTCTTCGTGAGCTTTCAAGCTTTTTACGAAGCTTGCCTACAAGAACATTATGGACAATGGTGACTGTCATCCGCCATGTGTGCACTACCTTGAAGACTGAAGACTACCGGGAAAAAAAACATTCACTGAGCCCGACGGTAAGTGTTTGGCAACACATTGGCTGAGTCCGCCGGTAAGGGCCTGTTCGCTTCAAAGGATTTGTAGACTTTCCAAAGGAATGTTCATTCCATAGTTTTCAGTTCCTTCACTGGCGTTCGGATCAAGGGAATCAGCTACAGCGTTCCTATGGAAAAGTTCGTAAACAGTGGCCATTTTACAGGAATCTAAACATCTGGTCTGAACCAATTTTTGGGCGGAGGCCCGAGGCAAGCCAACTCACAAGCCAAATAAAATATTCCTTTCGCATGGGTGGGAGAGAAGCAATACCAGCATGCAGCGATTAGAACACTTGGTGCCTGAATAAAATACTCAATACTGTTGCATCAGTAGTACGGCTCCTTTGCTCATACCTCTGGACAATTTCCTGTGAACCGAACACCCTTTATTCTTCTATTTTGCGAACTGCAGTAATGTACTGTACAGCCAACTGCATTCCTATACTTTTTTACATCCCTTTGTTTTTCTTACCTGTGTATCGAACGGGGCCTAAGTGTCTGGCAACACATTGGCGTTGTCCCGGGTTCAGATGTAAAAACTCGAGATGCTAGAAATGTGAGAGCAACTTCAGCCGTTGGCCTCTCAGGGGGCGTCTAAAATCCCCATTTGAGGATGAGCCGGCGTAAAAAATCGGCCTGGGGACGAGTTGGTCCCCAGCCGCCCGCCATAGGGCCGCTCCAGGCGCGTTCAAAAAAGGCAAAAATATAGCAAAGTTCGGCATATATTACATAATAGATATGTCTAATTAAAAAAGAAACTGGCTGAACGCGGAGTAGTCGCCGTCGTCATCGCCGCCGTCGTCGTCGTCGGGCTTCTCCTCCTTGACGCCGCCGTCCCTGGTGGACACCTGACCGGCGTCGCCAACGCGGACTGATGGCGGCGGCGCGTCGTCCTCGTCGCTATCCTCGATGACGATGATGCCTCCTTCGTCGCGGCCCCGGCGGCGCTGCGCGAATCGCTGCAGGGCGGTGCACTGGCGCTCCCTCACCATCTTCAGGGTGTCCGCGCGCGCCCATTTCAGGGCCGCGTCGTCGTCGAGCTCGACGTCGCCGCCGTGCTCCGTCTTCACCGCGAGGAGGAGGCTCGGCTCCGTCTTCACCGCCGCGAGCCCCGACCCCGTCTTGGTCTTGACGAAGCGCGGAGGAGGAGCCGACGAGGAGGCGCGCCGGCCGCCGTCGTTGATGACGATGCCGGCGCTGCGAGTGCGTCGGCCGAGCGCCGTCTCCGCCGCGGGCTCGGCCTTGACGCCGAGCAGCGCCGGAGAGCCGGAGGAGTGCGAAGAAGAGCGTGGTGAGAAGGAAGAAGAGGAGGCGCCGAACCTCCTGGGCAACCATTGCCCGTCGCGTCGACGGAGAACCGTGGCCGTGGCGGCCGCCCTCGCCGGGGGGTACGCCAACGGCGAGTTGTTGCCGCCCTCGAGGTGCGTCAGCACGCCCTCGAGTGTGCGGCTGGGGACGCCCCACCACAGGCGGCGCCCCTCGTTGTTCTTCATGCCGCCGACCACCGCCGCGCCATTGGTGGACGCCAGCCGCTGCTGCTGACGGCGTTGAAAGTACGCCGCCCAAGCCGCGTGGTTGTCGGCGGCATACTAAGGAAGGGAGAGTTGGGCGTCAGTGGGGGAGGCGCGCACGACCTCGACCTCGTCGGCGAAGTACCCGGGTTTGGCCACGGTGTCGGGCAACGGGGGAATGGGCACTCCCCCGTTGCTGAGCTTCCAGCCCATCGGCACGGCGCACATGTCCGACGGCGCCGGGATGTTTGCCTGGAATAGGAGGCAAGACTCCTGTTCGCGGAGCGAGAGGCGGCCGAAGCCGTTGGCCGCCGCCTCATCTCCGGGGAAACGCTCGGCCATCAGGAGAGGGAGGGACAGGGAGGGCTCGACGGCGGCGCTCGGGAGAGGGAGGCTCGACGGCGGCTCTCGGGAGAGGCAGAGCTTGGCGGCTAGGGCTAGGCTGGTGCGGCCAGAAGCGAGGGAGGCCGCCGGCTTTATATAGCCGTGACGCGCCCGTGTGTACGCGTGCGATGGAGGGGCAATGTCGGCGTGCCGTCCCGTGACACGCCGCTCGTGAGGAATCAATGGTAAGGCTGACCGACGACAGCCTTGCCATTGATTCCCCGCGGGAAACTGAGGCGTTGGGGGAAGACGACGCGCGGTGTCGCTGACGCGGCGGGCCCGCGGCTCTTTCGAGCCAAAACTGCTTGCCCTGACGTCCCCAAGCGCCCCCCGGCGCGCCAGGTTCGGCCTGGGTCCGCCGGCGCTAATTTTGATCCAGGCCGACGAAAATCGGGCTTCTGGGACACGACTAGACCGATTTTTTTACGCCGGCACGAAAAAATCGTGTGAAAATGCCTTTACGAGGGCGTGACTGGAGATGCTATGAGATCTTCTAAGATGAATACAATCGTTCCTCCTCCACTCTCAGAAATGTCGTCCCTGATCTCACACCTTGGACTCGTTGGTTCAGGGCACCGAGCGAAAAGGTCACCGCCTACTCTGGGCGGCAATGCCTCTTCTCATGTGCAAATGTTCTCATGCAATCTTTCAGTTCTCATCGTCTAGTAATTGGTTAAATTATTTGAGCAATATATTTAGATGAATGAACTCCCCGTTCTCTACCCCCTCCCCCCTTCCTTAGGCTGGTCGAAAAAAAGACATGACAAAACATAATCTTCTTCTAGCTCCAAGCATTTTTTTTATCCCTCGAAGAAACTATTCACATCAGATATCTGAGAGATATTAAATTCCAGGTGGGACAATCAATTCCCTATAGACTTGTCTGAACACACAAATCCTTTACACCATGCAAGGTGACCGACAAGCATGATATTCACTCGGTCACTCCCATAAAAAACACACATATATTCACATCATCAAGCAAATTATATACACGAGATGTCATAGACTGATCATGCGTATTAAACACATTATTTTTTAGATCAAGCTGTTGTGTCCATAATTTAATATCCATGTTATTTGATACAAAAAAAGGGCGATCATACTTGTCTGAATATACAAACCCTTTACTCTAGGCACGGTGACAAACATGCATAGAAAGTTAATAACAAATATTAACATCAGGAAACAACTTATATACACCAGATGGCACATTTTATATTTTTTGAGTGAGTGAATTTTAGTTTGTATGCCCGTTACTTGATATATTTTACACTAATTACCCCATCTAACAACTTTTCATCTGGATTACCCCATTTAGCAAAAAAAAACATTTTTACCACTTTTAAAGTATTTTAGGTTGCTGATAGCTCTTTTAGTAGTTCTTTTGCCGGACAAAGCATCAATGGAGCCTTGTCTAGTAAATGTGGTGAAGAAAAATGTGGTGGAAGCAATAAACAAGGAGTTGTGTGATGTGAAGAAGAAATCCATCAAGGTAAAGGAGAGCGTATGTACACATGATGACCGTGAGAAGAAATGATGTCCAACTAAGCCATTTGACCAGTTAGGATGCGAGGAAGAAACACCAGGAGAAAAATCGGGATGAATCAAGCTACGCATGATAGATGGCTAAATGGGGTAGAAAGTAGATACTAGTTAAACTTACGCTAAATGAGGTAAAAACTGGCAAAGCATTTGCTAAATAACGTAATCTAAAAGAATAGATGTTAAATGAGATAATGTATGCCAAAAATGTCAAAATAAAGGGTAAAAAACTGGAATTCACTCTTTTTGAGATGGAAATGGCACAAAGTGATCAAGTGTATTAAAAACATTATTGTTTAGAACAACCTATTGCTTTAAACCATGCATGAGGGCTACAGCCTACATGTATGTTTGGTAAAGAAGATGACACAACCTGAAAGAGGGCACAATCCATGTCTATATTATAGTATCCATGGTACAAGTACTTGATAAAAAGGCGGTAATACATACCCTTTTTTCTCCAAACACGGTAACAGACAGACATAGAGAGTCAATACACACATATTAACATCAGCACGCAAATTATATACTCCCTCCTTCCATTTATATATGGCTTAATGCGTTTTTCGAGGCTAATTTTGACCAAATACTAGAGCAATAATATATGACATGCAACTTACACAAAGCACACCGTTAAATTCGTGTGTGAAAGGAGCTGTCAATGATATAATTTTCACATTGTGCATGTCATGTACTATTAATCTTGTCAATAGTCAAAGGCGGTCTTAAAAACGCATTAGGCCCTATATAGATAGAAGGAGGGAGTACACGAAATGGCACAAACTGATCATGCGTATTAAACACATTAGTATTGTTCTACCGTGTCCAAAACTTAATATCCATGTCATAAGCTTGTAACCTCGTAAAGTTACAAATTAACCTCCTGTCGTCTGCTTCCCGCACATAGTAGTAAACAAAGATGAAGCCACATTACTGTAAAACTACCCAACGAGGCGACAGACGGTCGAAAAATGGAAACCACCGTGGTTAAGATTCAGCCGAACTTTACCTTCCCACCACGGAGGCAATCATCCCATGCAGCCTGCCGGTTCCCCCGCCGGAGCGCCGGGCGCGGAAGCACAGGGTAGACGTCGGTGACGCCGCCCCGCCGTCCGCTTCTTCGTCCTCTCCCCTTGACGTGGACGAGAAGGACGACCGCGGCGGGCTCGCCACCAGCCTCTTCCTCCGGCTGTACTCCTTGGACGGCGAGGGAGCCGGCATCGTGTGGCTCCTGCGGAACATCGTCGGGACGAAGCTGGCCGGCCTGGAGGACGAGAGCAGCTTCTTGGAGGACTCCGACTTGGTGATCTTCGTCTTGCTGTAGTAGGAAGGCGGCGGCGTGATGGGCGGGAGCGCCCTGGACGAGGCGCCGTCGTTCTTGGGCGTCCCCGGCGCCGACTCCCAGAGGAACGGCACCGAGCCCGCGGAGGCGACGCCGTAGTAGGTGCGGAAGGAGGGGTTGGAGAGGGAGGCGTCCGGGGCGAGGAGGCGGCTGGCCATGGTGGTCGGCCTCTCCTCCTGCATCATCACGTCCCGGAGCGTCCTCTGGCTCGAGCTCATCCTCGCTTTGCCTGGCTGGTTTTGGTCGTCTATTCGTAGATGAGATTAGACGCAATGTGAGTTCGGAATCTAGTGTGAGATACTTCTTGAAATGTGAGATGTGCTATGCTGACCTTGCTGCCGAGAGGGAGAGAGTAGGAGAGAGCAGACATCGGGCATGTGATCTGGGGCAAGTAGCACATGGATCCAGTAGGTATGCCGCTGACTTTGGGATGGTTTAATGCATGCCACTTAAACTTATTGCGCCCGGAGACGAATGGGCCATGACTTGCTTCGGTTAACCACATACCTGTCGGCATCCCAGGTGGCTGAGGAGCTTCGTGGGCGGTGGTTGTTGGCTACGACGACTGGAACAGCGTCACCCCCCGCCGGCGATGATGTGTTCCAGATCTTATTTTCCCAGTGCCGACGGGCTATGACCTCTCTTGGGCGGTCCACATTGAGAGAGTGGTAGTCCAGCTTTGTCGGTCCCGACGACCATGCCTCATTGCTTGTGTAGGAAAGTGTGGGTGCGGATCACGGGTGTTCCACACGACATTTTCGACGACATGCCCTTCTCTGGCCGCAAGATAATCGTTCGGGCTCTCGTCGCTGTGATGAGTTTTCATTGGTCGATAATGTTGGAAATATTAGCATTTTTCTGATTAGACTTATCCACGAATAAACAGTAAGCATGGCATAAAAGGTATGCATCTCATAGCGATGCGTAAGCATACTAGCACGTATAGAACATAGAATCGAACCTTCTATGAGCAGCACATATACGGCTAGCATAAGTACGAGTAAACGAGGAATGAACAGATCATACCCTCCGGTTGGCCAGGCCAACACGGCGGCGGCAGCAGCAGCCTCAGCGTCGTCCGTGGCCTTCTTCTTAGCGGCGGCGGCGGCGGCCATGGTGTCGATGCAGAGGAAGTAGTGGAAACAGAGGCGAACGGAGTTGGGGACGGATCGGGAGCAGTCGCGTCGAGACGCTCCCCAAAAAACTTATTGCCGTTCTCCCGGGCAGGATCTCGAACGACAGGATTCCGGAGGCACCTCCTCTCTCGACCAGCCATGCACGTGGTCGTCGGGATGGAATCGTCGAAGGCAGCACAGAGTGAGGAACAGTAGATGATGGCTAGGTCACACGAGAGGGAGTGAGTGAACCGAACTAGGTTACTTCACTGGCCAGAGCCTTCTTATATAGTCCGTAAGGGAGAAAGTCGTGGGCCTTGCCGAGGCCCACGACCGAGTCGACCCACTCTCGGCAAGGGAGTCGATGAATCCTGGCAGCGCGGGTCCCGGCAAGGGAGCAACGCAAGTCAGCCCACAATCCAACGTCTTGGACAGTGGCCCACATGTTAGCGACTCGTTAATTAATCCGTGATTAATTAATTCGTTCCTGAGTGGCAAAAATAAGCTTCGGCTCGGCTCATTGCCGCAACCCACAACCCGTGGCGTACGCGCGCGTCGTGACGCGGAGGGCGGAGGAGGAGGAGCGCGCGCGTACCACTCCTCTTCCCAAGCTCCCAATGGCAAGTGGTAGAGCATCCCTTATAAAGGGGTCTCAACTCTCCTCAACTAGCAAGGTGGGACTAAACTTCCCACCACCTGCCATCTCATACATGAACCTCAAGATTAACCAGGGATTAGTGTCTTATATGGGTCTAAGCCCATCCATAATCCAACAATCCCCCACTAGATCTCGAGGCATATAAGTTTGTCAACTGTTCTAAACAATGTTTGATATACCAGAATTTTCAGTGGAGACTGTTAAGTTGAACGTCCACCTAGAGCAACAGGATTAGACTTCTTCACAACTGAACAATGGACTATGCCTTGAATTGTCAACTTGGCGTGCAGAAGTTTCGCCTATTGTCAGCTGATACATGGTTTGTTGGAAATATGCCCTAGAGGCAATAATAAAAGCATTATTATTATATTTCTTTGTTCATGATAATTGTCTTTATTCATGCTATAATTGTGTTATCTGGAAATCGTAATACATGTGTGAATAACAGACATCAACGTGTCCCTAGTGAGCCTCTAGTTGACTAGCTCGTTGATCAACAGATAGTCATGGTTTCCTGACTATGGACACTGGATGTCATTGATAACGAGATCACATCATTAGGAGAATGATGTGATGGACAAGACCCAATCCTAAACATAGCACAAGATCGTATAGTTCATTTGCTAGAGTTTTCTAATGTCAAGTATCTTTTCCTTAGACCATGAGATCGTGTAACTCCCGGATACTATAGGAGTGCTTTGGGTATGCCAAACGTCACAACGTAACTGGGTGACTATAAAGGTAGACTGCGGGTATCTCCGAAAGTGTCTGTTGGGTGACATGGATCAAGACTGGGATTTGTCACTCCGTATGACGGAGAGGTATCACTGGGCCCACTCGGTAATGCATCATCATAATGAGCTCAGAGTGACCAAGTGTCTGGTCACGGGATCATGCATTACGGTACGAGTAAAGTGACTTGCCGGTAACGAGATTGAACGAGGTATTGGGATACCGACGATCGAATCTCGGGCAAGTAACATATCGATAGACAAAGGGAATAGCGTACGGGGTTGATTGAATCCTCGACATCGTGGTTCATCCGATGAGATCATCGTGGAGCATGTGGGAGCCAACATGGGTATCCAGATCCCGCTGTTGGTTATTGACCGAAGAGTCGTCTCGGTCATGTCTGCTTGTCTCCCGAACCCGTAGGGTCTACACACTTAAGGTTCGGTTACGCTAGGGTTGTAGGGATATGTATATGCAGTAACCCGAATGTTGTTCGGAGTCCCGGATGAGATCCCGGACGTCACGAGGAGTTCCGGAATGGTCCGGAGGTAAAGATTTATATATGGGAAGTCCTGTTTCGGGTATCGGGACAAGTTTCGGGGTTATCGGTATTGTACCGGGACCACCGGAAGGGTCCCGGGGGTCCACCGGGTGGGTCCACCTGCCCCGGGGGGGCACATGGGCTGTAAGGGGGTGCGCCTTGGCCTAATGGGCCAAGGGCACCAGCCCCACATAGCCCATGCGCCTAGGGTTTAAGGGGACAAGAGTCCTAGGAGGGTAAGGCACCTCCTAGGTGCCTTGGGGGGGAGGGAAACCTCCCCTTGGCCGCCGGCCATAGGAGATTGGATCTCCTAGGCTGCGCACCACCCCCCCTTGGCACCCCTATATATAGTGGGGGAGAGGAGGGACTTCATACCTGAACGCACTGGCCTTTGGTTGCCTCCTTCTCCCTCCTCAACACCTCCTCCACCTCCATAGTGCTTAGCGAAGCTCTGCCGGAGTACTGCAGCTCCATCAACACCACGCCGTCGTGCTGCTGTTGGTGCCATCTCCCTCAACCTCTCCTCCCTCCCTTGCTGGATCAAGAAGAGGAGACGTGGCTGTTCCGTACGTGTGTTGAACGCGGAGGTGCCGTCCGTTCGGCGCTGGTCATCGGTGATTTGGATCACGTCGAGTACGACTACATCATCACCGTTCTTTTGAACGCTTCCGTGCGTGATCTACAAAGGTATGTAGATGCATCTGATCACTCGTTGCTAGATGAACTCCTAGATGATCTTGGTGAAACGAGTAGGAAAATTTTTGTTTTCTGCAACGTTCCCCAACAGTGGCATCATGAGCTAGGTCTATGCGTAGTTCTTCTTGCGCGAGTAGAACACAATTTGTTGTGGGCGTAGATTTGTCAACTTTCTTGCCGTTACTAGTCCTTTCTTGCTTCAGCGGTATTGTGGGATGAAGCGGCCCGGACCAACCTTACACGTACGCTTACGTGAGACCGGTTCCACCGACTAACATGCACTAGTTGCATAAGGTGGCTGGCGGGTGTCTGTCTCTCCCACTTTAGTTGGAGCGGAATCGATGAACAGGGTCCTTATGAAGGGTAAATAGAAGTTGACAAATCACGTTGTGGCTTTAACGTAGGTAAGAAAACGTTCTTGCTAGAACCCTAATTCAGCCACGTAAAACTTGCAACAACAATTAGAGGACGTCTAACTTGTTTTTGCAGCAAGTGGTTTGTGATATGATATGGCCAAAGTTGTGATGGATGATGAATGATCTATATGTGATGTATGAGATGTTCATGCTATTGTAATAGGATTCACGACTTGCATGTCGATGAGTATGACAACCGGCAGGAGCCATAGGAGTTGTCTTTATTCTTTTATATGACCTGCGTGTCATCAAGAAACGCCATGTAAATTACTTTACTTTATTGCTAAACGCGTTAGCCATAGTAGTAGAAGTAATAGTTGGCGAGCAACTTCATGGAGACACGATGATGGAGATCATGATGATGGAGATCATGGTGTCAAGCCGGTGACAAGATGATCATGGAGCCCCAAGATGGAGATCAAAGGAGCTATGTGATATTGGCCATATCATGTCACGTTTATTATTTGATTGCATGTGATGTTTATCATGTTTTGCATCTTGTTTACTTAGAACGACGGTAGTAAATAAGATGATCCCTCACAATAAAATTCAAGAAGTGTTCCCCCTAACTGTGCACCGTTGCGACAGTTTGCTGTTTCAAAACACCACGTGATGATCGGGTGTTTTATTCAGACGTTCACATACAACGGGTGTAAGACAGATTTACACATGCAAACACTTAGGTTGACTTGACGAGCCTAGCATGTACAGACATGGCCTCGGAACACAGAAGACCGAAAGGTCGAGCATGAGTCGTATAGAAGATACGATCAACATGAAGATGTTCACCGATGTTGACTAGTCCGTCTCACGTGATGATCGGACACGGCCTAGTTGACTCGGATCATGTTATACTTAGATGACTAGAAGAGGGATGTCTATCTAAGTGGGAGTTCATTGAATAATTTGATTAGATGAACTTAATTATCATGAACTTAGTCTAAAATATTTACAATATGTCTTGTAGATCAAATGGCCAACGTAGTCCTCAACTTCAACGCGTTCCTAGAGAAAACCAAGCTGAAAGACGATGGCAGCAACTATACGGACTGGGTCCGGAACCTGAGGATCATCCTCATAGCTGCCAAGAAAGATTATGTCCTACAAGCACCGCTGGGTGACGCACCTGTTCTCCCTGCAGAACAAGACGTTATGAACGCTTGGCAGGCACGTTCCGATGACTACTCCCTCGTTCAGTGCGGCATGCTTTACAGCCTAGAGCCGGGGCTCCAAAAGCGTTTTGAGAGACATGGAGCATATGAGATGTTCGAAGAGCTGAAAATGGTTTTCCAAGCTCATGCCCGGGTCGAGAGATATGAAGTCTCCGACAAATTCTTCAGCTGTAAGATGGAGGAAAATAGTTCTGTCAGTGAGCACATACTCACTATGTCTGGGTTGCATAACCGCTTGACTCAGCTGGGAGTTAATCTCCCGGATGATGCGGTCATTGACAGAATCCTCCAGTCGCTTCCACCAAGCTACAAGAGCTTTGTGATGAACTTCAATATGCAGGGGATGGAAAAGACCATTCCTGAAGTATTTGCTATGCTAAAATCAGCGGAGGTAGAAGTCAGGAAGGAACATCAAGTGTTGATGATCAATAAAACCACTAAGTTCAAGAAAGGCAAGGGTAAAAAGAGCTTCAAGAAGGACGGCAAGGAGGTTGCCGCGCCCGGCAAGCAAGCTGCCGGGAAGAAGCCAAAGAATGGACCCAAGCCCGAGACTGAGTGCTTTTATTGCAAGGGAAGCGGTCACTGGAAGCGGAACTGCCCTAAGTACTTAGCGGATAAGAAGGCCGGCAAAACCAAAGGTATATGTGATATACATGTAATTGATGTGTACCTTACTAGTGCCCGTAGTGGCTCCTGGGTATTTGATACCGGTGCAGTTGCTCACATTTGTAACTCAAAGCAGGGGCTGCGGAATAAGCGGAAACTGGCAAAGGACGAGGTGACGA